GTTGGATAGTAATAATCAATTTAAAATATTCTCCTTCAAAGTTTTATAAACATATTGAACATCTTCTTTAACCTATACAAAGCTGTAATCAAAGTAAAACGAGGATCCATTAGCTATTAAATGTATCATTATTTTTTTCTTGTTTGACTTAAGTCTTATGTTTGCACTTTATCTCAATGTTACCCTGTTAAACGTTTTTGCTGGTGAACATTTCTTTTTGATAGCATGCATATGATGAATTAGTGGTGTTACTAGGAAATAATTTATAAACCTAAGAGGCAATAATAATAATGCATGAGTAAGATAAACCTGTGTGTATATAACGAGTAAGATATAACATTGAATCGTTCGATATAATGTTTGATGTTCAGAGAACAATTTTATATTTGGGAAACCTAGGGTTGAACTTGTTCACAACTGTAACCAAATCCAGTTTGCTCCCTTGACCACGATGAATTCCTAACATCATTAGCTGTCCAGACGCTTGATGATAATTTATCAAAATAAATAGCCGTAGTACATGTAAAACTGTCAGAATCTGATGCTCATTGCTGATTTCAAACTCAAACAGCAGAGTTTTTAGTTTTTACAAAAAATTCCTTTCAAAGTTTAAAATTAAAATTGCAAAAAAACCCGACTGGAAACTAATAGCGGGCAAGCGTCGTGGCGATTGCATATGCAAATTAAATCTCATGTCGTATTTGCATATCTGTTCTCTAATGAACATTCAAAATAACTATTTCAGAGTAACTTTATTATATTTTTAAATTTGATGGTTCTCTAAAAGCTTACAACATTTTTAAGCAGTAAATTACCAAGCTTTTCAAAAGAAATATTGTCTGGCCTCATGAAAATGTATTATCAATAACATTGAGACAAGAACTAGAAAATACAGCCAAAAAAATGGTTATCACAAAATCAAAGAGCATTTTGCATCAGACCATAGCCTCGATAGTAAATGCACTAGAAGGACATGTCAAAACTAAAAAGCTCAAAATATAAAGTTAGACCTAGTTGTCTTTAAAATAATAATTAAAGTTATGTATCGAAAACTTGAAATGAATTATTAAAATTTAGTACAACTTAATAAAACTCAACCATGCAACAGTTGCATGTGTTCAAAATTAAAACATTTATTGAAATAACACGGACTACATATGCATGATACATTTACTTTATAGTCAATTTAATAACAAAAAAAATATAGGAAATGTTAGCTTCGAAAATCCATGTTGTTTGATTGAATTAACGAAGACCAATGGCTGTACCAGTTGCATCTGTCCATCGGTCACTGGATGTGTAAGTTCCACAGCCCCCAAAGTGCAACTCAGTAAGGAAAAAGAAGTTGCATGGTAAACGGCCATAACTACGTAAATTCAAACCAGTCTTGCGCCAATTAACTGCAACTCCACGCCTTTCATAAACCAAGTTGCTTTTGTGATATGGACTTGGCGTAATTCCTTTATGGTTTGGGAAGAATGCGAAGTAGAATTTGGATTTGCATCACAGTTTTGAAGACGATGTTTCGATAATTTGATCTAAGGTAAAGAGCACGGGTTGAATGAGCTTGATCTGTTATAAAGTTGAAGTGAATTCCAAGATTTTTTCTTAACTCAGTGCACGTTAACATTAAAAGTTATTCTAGTGTCTAAGTAGGAAAAAACAGAAAATGTAACAATAAGCAAGCATTAATTTTTAACTAAATTTTAAACTTCTAATTTGTCTTCACACTGCCAAATAACACGCGGATGTCTGCCCTTTATCTTCAAAGTTAATTACTATACATTCTGATAAAGTGTCAGCTTTTCGACTTCTCATATGAGAAAAAAATAGTAATCAGGCTGTTTTCTTCTTAAAATTCGCTCTAATTTTAATAAAAAAGTATTTACCTGAATCCTTGAATGCGTCGGTTTTGCGCTCTCCATTTTGGTAAAATTCCAAGGAATAGATAATCACGTAAATAGTAATTTAAAGGACGTGTGTAACCAACATAAGAGTGCATCAAAACTTTCAATGGTATTCTTCTATTACCATAAAGTTGACTGATAAGAGTGAAAGGTTGAGACCCGTCTCTCTTTTTGAATGCGAAGCAAGACATCTTTTCTATTTTTAAAAACTTGTTTTACCAGGGTGGGTAGTCTACCTCTCTTGACTGCGTGTGTTGGTATGAAGGTGTATCCACCTCCATGGTATTTCATTTCACAGTATACTATGACACGAATATATCTCACGTAAATGTAGTAAAGACCACTGCGTGCACGAGGAATACTTCGTTTTATCTGCAAGCAGGATCGATAACGATATCCATTGCATGAGGTCTTTACAAAAAAATAAAGTTACTGTGTTTTAATGACAAAGACATATATTAAAACATTCTTCATCGTTGACTTTTTACTTACCACATAGATAACAGAAATAAACAGAAGAATAATAAAGCGTGCCAAATTTGTCATTCTATAACATAAAAAAGGATGAAATAAATGAGGATTTTGTGTAACTTTTACTCTTTTCGATCGAGTAAATCTTACTTTGCCCTCCAGTATTATGCACAGATTTCTGAAATAGATAGCTACCAAAAACTTGTCGATGTATTTGCATAACAGCACAATGATTTAGGACTAATGTAAATCTATTTTTATGTACAGTGTTTCATAAAAAAATGCCAAACTGAAGAAAGAACTAGAACTTAAAAACCCCGCGCAGCATACACTTAAGTAAACATCACACGCATGCGATTTACCCAAACTTACCATCAAAATTACTTCCTAGTCCTCACGAAATTACGAATAATTGTCATTTGTATTCAGTTAAACAACATTTTAAAATTTATAGCACACAAATCAAATGTGAAAATCGTACCAACTTGTATTGAACAAATGCAAGTTTGAATGATACAATTGTAAATTGAATGCTTGGAATATAATTTAATGAAATTAATCTTACTTTTTGATTATATGTCCACTAATGTCGATAACGCTAATCTTTTATTGCTTTATTAATAAGCAAGGATTAACTATCAACTAAATTTTAAACTTCTAATTTATTTATTTCGTTAGAGCCTGCTATATATACGTTAGTAAAAGGTCATGCATTCTTAATGTCATTGCAGAAAACTAAAACTGTCAATTTTAAAATAATGAAACGCCTTCGGAAGGTAACTTCCATCTCAAAGTTTGACTAAAGATTTGTCATCTTACCTCTTTAATATTGAGTTTCAAAGCCAATTGAGAATGACTAAAACTTCCAGATGCAAGCAAGTGAGAATGATCAGTGTGGTTTGAAATCTTATACTTTATAGTGAGTATATCTTCTAATTTACATTTGAAAACCATCTTATTTGAAGTTTAAAAGAAAAGGGTCTTTTAAATAGACGTGCGTCATCATCCACAAGATCAAAGACAAAGTGAATAAAACGTCCTTTATGTGTACTAATTTTAATTTTCATATGTTGCTGCCAGAAAATTGTAAGTATACTTTACACAAAGAGCTTTTTGATTAGACCGACTAGACAACGTCACAATAGTAAACACACATACTAACAATTTTATGACGTATCAGTTGATTGTAGCTGGAGTATATGATGAACTCTCATTTCAAATTTAATCATAACAAATGGCGTTAAAATCTGTAAAGCAAAATTTTATATGAAATAAATTATTTTTTTGTGTCTGCACATCTCCAAAGTGGGTTGATTTCAATGAAAGGATTAGGCTAAAAGAAGTTGTCTGTATATCATAAATCATCAATTCATATGACGAAAGTTAATTCTTAATGAATCTTAATCTTTTGGCAAAAATATCATTTAATATCTTGAAAAGAAAACCATATTTGTTTTAGACATTTAAATTAATTGGTTTTTATAAAGAGTTTTTCCCTTGATAGGCAACACCAGCTAAATTGTTTTCTTCCTAATTCAGGCCTTTTCACACTATGCCGGTTTGCTAACGTTGCACGTTTAATTTTCTATGTATTTAAAGTCAGTAATATCGATCAATGTCCTTATATGATATCCTTAAAGTCAGTGATATCGTTACACTATTTAAAAAAAATTTTTATTGCATCATTTTGGATTAGTACCTACGAGTAATTGCTTCAGCTTATCCTAATTGATGGCGTCGTATGTGCTTAACAACATCCGGTAGTCTATTTTTTGAAACTGACATAAATTCAAGGTAATCAGTCAAAAATAAATAAGCGATAGTGAAAATTTAAATTTACTGTTATGTAGCTATGTTACACTATTTATGAATTTCTCAGTTTTAAAAGACGTGCAGCTGTAAGAGAAATATATTTTTTCTTATTCACACAAAAGTTCATGACAATGCTTTATATTTCTCACGAACTTTGACAACAAATCACAGTCGCTTTCACAGCAAATCATATTTGATTTAAAATACTTCATTGTATCAACTTAAATGTCTTTCAAAAGCGTTTTCTGACGTATATGAGAATAATAAAACGTCGTTTAGTTTAATCGACCGTTGATCAACATGCATTTGCAGTACGGAGAGGGTATAGCAAATATTTACCAAAAGATTTTTCTAAATTCCCCTGAAATTTTACTGTTTTCCTGATATGCAAAATTTGGGAAACAATTGATGACTTCAAATTTTCAATTTTGAAAAATGAATTATTTGTTTTAAGATATTTTATGCCATCACAATTTTTGGTTTACATAATCAAGGACCATGCAGCCCTATATGCCACTCAATAATGTAACAAGTAAAATTTCTGTCCTAAAAAATGTAATAACGATTACGGTCGTAACAACGGGAGCGTTGGGATATTAGGCGTACGGACTTAAGTCTTAAGAGGGACATTTGCCATACCAACTTCCTACTTTACAAAAACGAAGGCGAAGATTTATGATATTTTACTATGCATACGTGTCTGGGGACGTCAAAACAAAAAGCACTTTAAACAAAGAAATAAAAAATTTATTCAAAAATTTTCAACAAAGAGCCTTTTCTTTGATCTTTAAAAGGAAAGTAGAATTTCAACATAAAGAAGCTCTTTAGTAAAGCAAGTCTTCCTTCAGCAAAATACTATATGTTTCAAAGGAGAGATTTAACCTTTGATCTTGGATAAATAGGTAATGATATTATTGTTGACAAGAAATCCTTATAATTGAAATTTACCTAACAAAATTTGTGTCGCGAAATCTCACTTTTTAAAAATAAAAACATATGAATATCTAATTGATCATCCATACTGTATTGGCATTCTAGTTATTTAAGAATATTTTGAAGGCGTTTTATTGTCGCTAATAATGGACACGTACAGATAGAACGCTAAGTTTAACGTTCTTTCTGTAACTTAGCTACATAATATATTTTACCTGAATAAGGTCAAGTTTCTGCTGTGATTGTTCTACATAACTTGGAAGCTTTATTAATTTTTATAAAAATTTAGAAACGATAATTTCTTCAAGGAAAATCTTCCTGTTACGTGAGTGGTCCCGAAAGAATAACTATTATTTTTGGTTCTATTTCCACACGCAGCGAAGATAGTGTGAAACAGTTATATTCCTCAAACAATTTATTTATCAACGCGTAATTATATACGTATATAAATATCTTGACAATAATATTAACAAGTATGAGTAAAACTTATCTCCTCTGTCTGTGTACAACCGCGAGTCTTTATTCTTGAGCTTTCATGAGTCCAACAATATCTCACAAAAGTTTTCCAAATAGATTAAAGGCACAGAATCCAAAAGATAGTTATGGCACAAAAGCCAAGATAGTCGTTTGGTAGATTGTAGCTTGTCAACCTAACTCGGTAGGCTATGCCTCCTAAGTTTGTCTCGTCGTAGGCTGTGCTCATAGGTTGTACTTAGGGGTCTAAACTGCTCATATATATATAATATCTAATGGGAAGTTTTGTGGTTTTGTGACCAACATCCCATATGCAATACAGTATGTTACAGCATGATATAGTTAACCACAAAAGCAACAAATGCGGTTGCGGTTCTAAAATATGTGTTTACGCATGTAAGCAAGCTTCTAGATTATGTCCTATTTATAATAACATTGTAAATGCATATTAAAGATAAAATATAAAACTATGGAATGTTTAGTAATGTAATATAATAATAGTTTATAAATGATATTACATGATAGTAGTTGCTATCATGTAACACCCTCCCTCTTGGAGAAAAAGAAAGCACACAAGGGCTTTCTTTTAAAGTCGCAATGTAATAATGTCCTACGGTCGTGAAAGACAATCTGCAATGAGGTTGTCACGTCCCTTGATGTGGCGGATTTCTATGTAGTACTCCGACAATATAAGACTCCAGCGTAAAAGTCGTTGGTTCTTTTGACGTAATTTATGCAGAAATACTAATGAGTTATGGTCGCTGTATACAATTAGGGGTGTGTCGTGGGATGAGACGTAAACGTTGAAATGTTGAAGTGCAAGGACAAGAGCTAAACATTCTTTTTCGATGGTGGAATAGTTTTGTTGGCTTACATTAAATTTTGTGGAAAAGTAGTAGACTGGATGATCTATTCCCTCGCCATCTTCTTGTAGAAACACTGCTCCGGCAGCTGTATCACTGGCATCAACGGATAGTTTAAACGGACGTGAAAAGTTTGGAGCAGATAATATGGGTGAGCGTTGCAACATTGCTTTCAACTGATCAAAAGCTAACTGGCACTGTTCTGTCCAGGAGATTTTAACGTCCTTTTGTGACAATTGCGTAAATGGTTCAGCGACTGAAGAGAAATTTGGGCAAAACTTGCGGTAGTATCCTGCCATACCAAGAAAACGCATGACATGTTTCTTGGTACTTGGTTCTGGAAAGTTGGCTGTAGCTTGTACCTTAGCATCAACTGGTTTGACTTTATTTTGACGCACGATATGTCCTAAATAAGTAACTTGGCCGCAACCAAATTCACGTCCTTTATGTGTACTAATTTTAATTTTCATATGTTGCTGCCAGAAAATTGTAAGTATACTTTACACAAAGAGCTTTTTGATTAGACCGACTAGACAACGTCACAATAGTAAACACACATACTAACAATTTTATGACGTATCAGTTGATTGTAGCTGGAGTATATGATGAACTCTCATTTCAAATTTAATCATAACAAATGGCGTTAAAATCTGTAAAGCAAAATTTTATATGAAATAAATTATTTTTTTGTGTCTGCACATCTCCAAAGTGGGTTGATTTCAATGAAAGGATTAGGCTAAAAGAAGTTGTCTGTATATCATATATCATCAATTCATATGACGAAAGTTAATTCTTAATGAATCTTAATCTTTTGGCAAAAATATCATTTAATATCTTGAAAAGAAAACCACATTTGTTTTAGACATTTAAATTAATTGGTTTTTATAAAGAGTTTTTCCCTGGATAGACAACACCAGCTAAATTGTTTTCTTCCTAATTTAGGCCCTGTTTACACTATGCCGGTTTGCTAACGTTGCACGTTTAATTTTCTATGTATTTAAAGTCAGTGATATCGTTCAATGTCCTTATATGATATCCTTAAAGTCAGTGATATCGTTACACTATTTAAAAAATGTCTATTGCATCATTTTGGATTAGTACCTACGAGTAATTGCTTCAGCTTATCCTAAATGATGGCGTCGTATGTGTGCTTAACAACATCCGGTAGTCTATTTTTTGAAACTGACATAAATTCAAGGTAATCAGTCAAAAATAAATTAGCGATAGTGAAAATTTAAATTTACCGTTATGAAGCTATGTTACACCATTTGAGAATTTCTCAGTTTTAAAAGACGTGCAGCTGTAAGAGAAATATATTTTTTCTTATTCACACAAAAGTTCGTGACAATGCTTTATATTTCTCACGAACTTTGACAACAAATCACAGTCGCTTTCACAGCAAATCATATTTGATTTAAAATACTTCATTGTATCAACTTAAATGTCTTTCAAAAGCGTTTTCTGACGTATATGAGAATAATAAAACGTCGTTTAGTTTAATCGACCGTTGATCAACATGCATTTGCAGTACGGAGAGGGTATAGCAAATATTTACCAAAAGATTTTTCTAAATTCCCCTGAAATTTTACTGTTTTCCTGATATGCAAAATTTGGGAAACAATTGATGACTTCAAATTTTCAATTTTGAAAAATGAATTATTTGTTTTAAGATATTTTATGCCATCACAATTTTTAGTTTACATAATCAAGGACCATGCAGCCCTATATGCCACTCAATAATGTAACAAGTAAAATTTCTGTCCTAAAAATTGTAATAATGATTACGGTCGTAACAACGGAAGCGTTGGGATATAGGCGTACGGACTTAAGTCTTAAGAGGGACATTTGCCATAGTAACTTCCTACTTTACAAAAACGAAGGCGAAGATTTATGATATTTTCCATGCATATGTGTCTGGGGACGTCAAAACAAAGAGCACATTAAACAAAGAAATAAAAAATTTATTCAAAAATTTTCAACAAAGAGCCTTTTCTTTGATCTTCACAAGGAAAGTAGAATTTCAACATAAAGAAGCTCTTTAGTAAAGCAAGGTCCTCCTTCAGCAAAATACTATATGTTTCAAAGGAGAGATTTAACCTTTGATCTTGGATAAAAGGTAATGATATTATTGTTGACAAGAAAATCCTTATAATTGAAATTTACCTAACAAAATTTGTGTCGAAATCTCACTTTTAAAAATAAAAACATATGAATATCTAATTGAGCATCCACACTGTATTGGCATTCTAGTTATTTAAGAATTTTTTGAAGGCGTTTTATTGTCGCTAATAATGCACACCTACAGATAGAACGCTTAGTTTAACGTTATTTCTGTAACTTAGCTACATAATATATTTTACCTCAATAACGTCAAGTTTCTGCTGTGATTGTTCTAAATAACTTGGAAGCTTTATTAATTATTTTAAAAATTTAGAAACGATAATTTGTTCAAGCAAAATCTTCCTGTTACGTGCGTGGTCCCGAAAGAATAACTATTATTTTTGGTTCTATTTCCACACGCAACAAAGAAAGTGCGAAACAGTTATATTACTCAAACAATTTATTTATCAACACGTAATTATATACGTATATAAATGTCTTGACAATAATATTAACAAGTATGAGTAAAACTTATCTCCTCTGTCTGTGTACAACCGCGAGTCTTTATTCTTGAGCTTTCATGAGTCCAACAATATCTCACGATAGTTTTCCAAATAGATTAAAGGCACAGAAGCCAAAAGATAGTTATGGCACAAAAGCCAAGATAGTCGTCTGGTAGATTGTAGCTTGTTAACCTACCTCGGTAGGCCATGCCTCCCAAGATTGTCTCCTCGTAGGTTGTCCTCGTATGTTGTACTCAGTGGTCTAAACTACTCATATATATATAATATCTAATAGGAAGTATTGTAGTTTTGTGACCTACATCCCATACGCAATACAGTATGTTACAGCAAGATATAGTAAACCAAAATAACAACAAATGCGGTTGCGGTTCTAAAATATGTGTTTAAGCAAGCTTCTAGCGCATGCAAGCAAGCTTCTAGATTATGTCCTATTTATAATGACATTGTAAAATGCATATTAAATATAAAATATAAAAATATGGAATGTTTAGTAATGTAATATAATAATAGTTTATAAATGATATTACATGATAGTAGTTGCTATCATGTAACACCCTCCCTCTTGAGAAAAGAAAGCACACAAGGGCTTTCTTTTAAAGTCGCAATGTAATAATGTCCTACGGTCGTGAAAGACAATCTGCAATGAGGTTGTCACGTCCCTTGATGCAGAGGCGGATCCAGGCTGGTGCAACTGATGCGATTGCATCAGTCATAAAATTGTGTAGTTAATCTTTCACAACATATTATAACTTACAATCAATATGAGCAAAATGCAAGAAATATATCAGATTGGAACGTTTATAGTTTCTAAATGCTTTAAATACCTTAACACTGACATTATATTGACAACAGATGTACATTGATGATTGAGAATTATTGTTAAAAACCTTCGTCGATTGTTTACATGTGAGTATCATTTTGATTACAGCCGCATTATTAAAAAATGCGTCGCTAAATATGGCGCTTTATGTGTCGAAATTTTTAGCGAAAACTTGTTTCATCATCCAGCTACACTGAGCTGAATTTGTATTACTACGTCACGGTGGCTAGATAGTGAATCACTTACGTCACGGTGGGGAAAAAGTGCACCAGTTGGTGCAACAGTCCCGAGTCTCTTTGGCCGAGTGAACCACCTAAACGTCACGAATTACATTGTTTTTTAGCCTACGTCACGGTGGGAAATTGCTGCTGACTGTTGCACTTAAGCCCACGAACACCAAAAGGGAGTACAACATAGAAATCCGTCACATCAAGGCTTGATGTGACGGATTTCAATGTTGTACGCCGACAGTATAAGACTGCAGCGTAAAAGTCGTTGGTTCTTTTGACGTAATTTATGCAGAAATACTAATGAGTTATGGTCGCTGTTTACAATTAGGGGTGTGTCGTGGGATGAGACGTAAACGTTGAAATGTTGAAGTGCAAGTCAAGAGCTAAACATTCTTTTTCGATGGTGGAATAGTTTTGTTGGCTTATATTAAATTTTCTGAAAAAGTAGCAGGCTGGATGATCTATTCCCTCGCCATCTTCTTGTAGAAACACTGCTCCGGCAGCTGTATTACTGGCATCAACGGCTAGTTTAAACGGACGTGAAAAGTTTGGAGCAGATAATATGGGTGAGCGTTGCAACATTGCTTTCAACTGATCAAAAGCTAACTGGCACTGTTCTGTCCAGGAGATTTTAACGTCCTTTTGTGACAATTGCGTAAATGGTTCAGTGACTGAAGAGAAATTTGGGCAAAACTTGCTTTCGACTGATCAAAAGCTAACTGACACTGTTCTGTCCAGGAAAATTTAACGTTCTTTTTTAACAATTTAGTCAATGGATCAGTGACTGAAGAGAAATTTGTAGTATCCTGCCATACCGAGAAAACGCATGACACGTTTCTTGGTAGTTGGTTCTGGAAAGTTGGCTATAGCTTGTACCTTAGCATCAACTGGTCTGACTTTACCTTGACGCACGATATGTCCTAATGTAACTTGGCGCAACCAAATTCACTTTTTAACAAATTGAATGTTAGATTAGCTTTGCTTAAACGTTGGAAGAATTCGTGTATAATCATTAAATTCGTGTATAATCATTCCTCGACCCAGTTCTCCACAACATTTAGACGTCCTAGTTGACGTCGCGTTGAGTTTGCTAAAGCTGTCTAAACAAATTTTTACTTCTTTATTCGCTTGCTAGGATTTAACTTCCGATGGGGTGAACCTTTTCCATTGTAAAAAGGAAATGGCAAGGAGACGATAATGCCGCGGAATAAATTTAGTGGATAAAAATTATTGTATGCATGGGTCATTTTCAATGTATATTTAAGAATGAAAACCCTTAATAATACTCAAAGCAAATGGCTAAAAACCTTTAAAATATAAATAATTCAGTAATCAATGATTTGGTAAAATTTTCACACTACTAACCTTTTACAAGAAAGAAGTTTGTAATAAAACAATCTTGTTTTATCTTAAATGCCCAAACTCATGGCAAACATGTATGAGTGCCTGCTAGATGTTTTGACTATGCAATGTTGTATGTCTATACTGATAAGTTGTTCAAAATACTTTTCCACGAAATGTATTTGACTCTGCGTATTTAGGCAGAGCCCCCCAGTATTAAACGACACAACTATCGTTGGTCTATGGAATACACTACACACACTACATACACACACTCAGCTAGTTATGTTAGTACTTATAAAATTACAAAATTACGATTTCCGGTTTATTACTGTGATCTTATAAAAATAAAATTTCTAAACAATTTTACTATAACCATAAAGCCCAGTGAAGACAACATACGACTTTTACCATCATCACACCTTTTTAAACAACAGTCCATAAGGCCGAACATCGTAAACACCGTTGTCCTTGTCTTGCTTTGGTGACACCCAGCATTCTATACCAGTATTTGTTTAGTCAGCAGGGATGATCTCAAGACGACCCGCGGCAGGATTAACACGGTTTTGTAGAACGATTTTCCACTGACAACCATTGTGCGTGAATTCGTGAGCATACGTAGCAGCAGTATTTACATCTGGACTTGAGTAAACGCCTTCAACATGGCGTTTTTTCTGTCCAATAGCGTACCCTGCTTTCAAAATCGCTGTTTGTAATTTCGTGCCATGATAAGAAACAGGCCATTCACCTTGCGCTTGTTCTGTTCTCATACCGTCTGGTCCAAGCCATTCCTCGGAACCGTAAGTTCCGAGGACTTTAACCGCATATCTATTCCATCCATAAGGACGTTTGTATTGCTTTCCTCCTCTCATGTATACCTTCCCATCGTCAGACGCGCTCGTAGAATAACATTTGTATCTTGGGTCCAAGTCGCTGAGATCCAACTGAATGTCAGGTCCTCCTTCTTTGGCGCGAATAAGAAGAAATATTGTTCCAGACGGTTGGACTCCGAGTTCGGCGATTGTGTGGTGGTCTTGCAAACGAGTTTTATTGAACATATTAAACATCGTGCATCAGTGATTAACAGTTTAATGCAAGGAGCTTTGCAATGGCCCGTATAGATTTTGGACCATGCTTTATCCAAATGGAATAGTTTTGGTGAATGGAAAGCAGTGTTGAGTATTAAATTACTGAGCAAGTAACTGACACTGCGCAGACTGTACTTGTAATGCCGTCACTATATTTGGCATTTATGTTCGCTAATTCTTCAACTATTTTATTCATATTGCTGGCATCTTTTCATACGGTCATTACATACACGCACTGGGTGCTCAATGATCAAGGTCGCATTAGATCAAAGGTATTTGTTGGCTCTTTGCTGTCAAATCAATATTTGAATTAATAGACAAAATTGTGTCATTTTAAGATACCCAGATTGCTCTTTTATGTTACTAGAGTTATTAAACAAAAAACGTCATTGGATAAACAATTATCATTCCAATCAAACCATAGTGTTTGTACAGAGAAAGGTCTCTAACCCAAAAGAGCTCAGCCAGCAAACAAAAGTCATAAATTACCAGTGTAGCTGAGTGCCTTTATGACGCTATTGATTCGTGAATTGCTTGATTTGTGTCTGGTAAAGAATACTCTAAGTACTGATTTGTTCTTATTTACAGTTAGCAAGGTCAAGTCAATATTTACATTAAAGTATAGTTTAGAAGACGCAAATTAAGCAATTCGTGGATCATAATCGTCAAAAATAATATTGAAAAACCCTTACCTACACCAGTAAAGCCTAAACATTTATAAAAATCTTACACAGCATATGCCAATAATGTAGGTCAAATATGGATTGTTGATTTTTACTTGAGAATTGAAATGTTTGAAATTCAAACAAGACTTAGGAGAGAAATGAATCTAAAATGAACATTTAGCAACTCAATTAATATCGCATGATTTGTAATTTCTAACTTGATAGTCAAAATATCCACCATCACTTTGGATTAGTCAAGTGTATGTAAGATATTTTCAAATGCATTCAGTCATACAATTGAGCTGACTATAGATATAACCTTTTATCCATGGATCGAAGCAATTTTTGAGTCATGTTAAGCTGGGTGCATTGCTATCATTTAATTTTATATACATACCATCACTGGATGATAGTAAAAGTTATTTTAAAATAATAAAACAACAGTAATATACAATGTTTAAAATTGCTATCATTATTAGGCTTACCAGATAATTATTAATTTATTTCTATAAGAGATTTATTAATTACCTCTTTTAGGTGTATTCTGAATTCCAGCTGCGAAAACCAGAGAACTTAGTTATTTTTTTACGCATAGATGATGATTTAATGCACATAAAACAAGTTAGAACAGAATTAGCAAAGGAAAAGAAATTTTTGGAAGTGGAAAGAGATGAAGAAATAGTGGATTTGGTGATGAAATATCATGCTGAAGATGAGCATTGTTTACTTGCAAGAAAGCCATTAAAGAAGTTTGATCTAAAAATCAGTACCCTCATTCCTTTTAATACTCTTGGAATCAGGTAAGCTTGACGATATCATTAACTTCACTTCTATTCAAGTGCCTTTGTGCTCCAATCAATTATGTGGAAAATATTGCATTGAATTACTCTATATTTCAGGTTTGTATGTGTAAATTTAAACATTTTTTTGTATTGACAACAGTTTTTTAAGAGAATTGTAAAGCTTCAGACATTTGTATACAGATTATGTATTACAAATAAGTGGTTTATATCTTCAGATCAAAGGAAACATCTGCTTTTGTTATAACATAGATGTTTCTATGTATGGTATTTAAGTATACCATCTCATGTACAATCAACCAGATATTTCTGCTGTACTCAACACATCCTGCTATTTTCTCCGAAACTCTCTCCGAACAATATAACTTTGCTTTTCTTATTGCTAACTTGCAAAACTTACTGTTGTATATGACTTGATATTCTTTTTGCCTTCAAAGGGCATGATGCTACACAATATGTATAATATAAAACAAATTCCGAAGAAGCAAGACATCTTGAGATTGCAAAATATGAATCAAAACAAGACGAGAAGTAAACTGTAAATTTTCGACTTTATTTCAAAGTTATCCTCAGACAGAATGATCATGCTGTACTCAACACATCCGTTATTGTTTTATATTATACTTCTTTAAATTGTCGGTTGGTCATGGTTTTTGGTCTACACAATATGCTTGTTGACTTTTTTCACATTTCTCTGGTCGTTAAATATAAGTAATTTACCAACTGAAATCTTTTGTTTTCTTTATCTGTACTTTCTATAACTTTATTAAATAGTCCTGCTAGTATCATAGTGAGCAGTTCTTTTTGATTGCATGCATATGATGAATTAGTGGTGTTATTAGGAAATAATTTATAAGACTAAGAGGCAATAATAATAATGCACGAGTAAGATAAACTTGTGTGTAAATAACGAGTAAGATATAATAATGCACGAGTAAGATATAACAGTGAATCATTCGATTTAATGTTTGATGTTCAGAGAACAATTCTACACTTGGGAAACCTAGCGTTGAACTTGTTCACAACTGTAACCAATTCCAGTTTGTTCCCTCGACCACAATGAATTCCTAACATCATTAGCTGTCCAGACGCTTGATGATGATTTATCAAAATAAATAGCCGTAGTACATGTAAAACTGTCAGAATCTGATGCTCATTGCCTATTTGAAACTCAAACAGCAGAGTTTTTAGTTTTTACAAAAAAATCCTTTCGAAGTTTAAAATTAAAGTTGCAAAACCCGACTGGAAACTAATAGCGGGCAAGCTTCGTAGCGATTGCATATGCAAATTAAATCTCATGTCGTATTTGCATATCTGCGCTCTAATGAACATTCAAAAATAACTATTTCAGAGTAACTTTATTATATTTTTAAATTTGATTTTGGATAGCTAGCGTGTATGAAGATTATTCCGATGCTGAGGGCTCACATTCTTTTAAACGAACGGCAAAAATCGACATTGGAAATTACATTTTGCGCTATACATTTCCCAACAAATCGTCAAATTTTCCCTGGCAGGGGGTCTAGGATTCTTTGACAGGGAGGCTGTAGACCCCTGTCCCCCCTCTGGTGCCAGCCCTGGTTCTCTGAAGAACTTAAAACATTTCTAAGCAATGAATTACCAAGCTTTTTCAAAAGAAATATTTTATGGCCTAATGAAAATGTATTATCGATAACATTGAGACAAGCACTAGAAAACATAGCCAAAAAACTTGGTTGTCACAAAATCTAAGAGTATTTTGCATCAGACCATAGCCTCGATAGTAAATGCACTAGAAGGACATGTCAAAACTAAAAAGCTCAAAATATAAAGTTAGACCTAGTTGTCCTTAAAATAATAATTAAAGTTATGTATCGAAAACTTGAAATGAATTATTAAAATTTAGTACAACTTAATAAAACTCAACCATGCAACAGTTGCATGTGTTCAAAATTAAAACATTTATTGAAATAACACGGACTACATATGCATGATACATTTACTTTATAGTCAAATTAATAACAAAAAAAATAAAGGAAATGTTAGCTTCGAAAATCCATGTTGTTTGATTGCATTAACGAAGACCAATGGCTGTACCAGTTGCATCTGTCCATCGGTCACTGGATGTGTACGTTCCACAGCCCCCAAAGTGCAACTCAGTAAGGAAAAAGAAGTTGCATGGTAAACGGCTATAACTACGTAAATTCAAACCAGTCTTGCGCCAATTAACTGCAACTCCACGCCTTTCATAAACCAAGTTGCTTTTGTGATATGGACTTGGCGTAATTCCTTTATGGTTTGGGAAGAATGCGAAGTAGGAATTTGGATTTGCATCACAGTTTTTGAAGATGATGTTTCGATAATTTGATCTAAGGTAAAAGAACACGGGTTGAATGAGCTTGATCTGTTATAAAGTTGAAGTGAATTCCAAGATTTTTTCTTAACTCAGTGCACGTTAACATTAAAAGTTATTCTAGTGTCTAAGTAGGAAAAAACAGAAAATGTAACAATAAGCAAGCATTAATTTTTAACTAAATTTTAAACTTCTAATTTGTCTTCACACTGCCAAATAACACGCGGATGTCTGCCCTTTATCTTCAAAGTTAATTACTATACATTCTGATAAAGTGTCAGCTTTTCGACTTCTCATATGAGAAAAATAGTAATCAGGCTGTTTTCTTCTTAAAATTCGCTCTAATTTTAATAAAAAAGTATTTACCTGAATCCTTGAATGCGTCGGTTTTGCGCTCTCCATTTTGGTAAAATTCCAAGGAATAGATAATCACGTAAATAGTAATTTAAAGGACGTGTGTAACCAACATAAGAGTGCATCAAAACTTTTAATGGTATTCTTCTATTACCATAAAGTTGACTAATAAGAGTAAAAGGTTGAGACCCGTCTCTCTTTTGAATGCGAAGCAAAACATCTTTTCTATTTTTGAAAACTTGTTTTACCAGGGTGGGTAGTCTACCTCTCTTGACTGCGTGTGTTGGTATGAAGGTGTATCCACCTCCATGGTATTTCATTTCACAGTATACTATGACACGAATATATCTCACGTAAATGTAGTAAAGACCACTGCGTGCACGAGGAATACTTCGTTTTATCTGCAAGCAGGATTGATAACGACGTCCATCGCATGAGGTCTTTATAAAAAAATAAAGTTACTGTGTTTTAATGACCAAGACATATATTAAAATATTCTTCATCGTTGACTTTTTACTTACCACATAGATAACAGAAATAAACAGAAGAATAATAAAGCGTGCCAAATTTGTCATTCTATAACATAAAAAAGGATGAAATAAATGAGGATTTTGTGTAACTTTTACTCTTTTCGATCGAGTAAATCTTACTTTGCCCTCCAGTATTATGCACATATTTTTTAATTAGATAGCCACTAAAAACATGTCGATATATTTGCATACCAGCACAATGATTTAGAACTAATGTAAATCTATTTTTATGTACAGTGTTGCATAAAATAATGCCAAACTGAAGAAAGAACTAGAACTTAAAAACCCCGCGCTGCATACACTTAAGTAAACATCACACGTATGCGATTTACCCAAACTTACCATAAAAATTGCTTCCTAGTCCTCACGAAATTACGATTAATTTTCATTTGTATCCAGTTAAACAAGATTTCAAAATTTATAACAAACAAATCAAATGTGAAAGTCGTACAAACTTGTATTGAACAAATGCAAGTTTGAATGATACAATGGTAAATTGAATGTTTGGAAGATAATTTAATGAAATTGATTTTACTTTGTGATTATATGTCTCAATAATGTCGCTAACGCTAATTTTTTCTTGGTCGTTTATTTCGTTAGAGCCTGCTACATAAACGTTGGTAAAAGGAGATGCATTCTTAACTGTCAATTATAAAATAATGAAACGCCCTTCGGAAGGTAACTTCCATCTCAAAATTTGACTAAGGTTTGTCATATTACCTCTTTAATATTGAATTTCAAAGCCAATTGAGAATGACTAAAACTTCCAGATGCCAAAGTGCAAGCAGTGAGAATGATGTTATGTTTTTATAGTGAATATATGTTCTAATTTACATTTGAAAACCATCCTCTTTGAAGTTTAAAAGAATAAAGTCTTTTAAATGGACGTACGTCAACATCCTCAAGATCAAAGACAAAGTGAATAAAACGTACTTTATATGAACTAGCTTTAATTTTTATATGTTGCCGCCAGAAAGTTGTAAGTATACTTTAAACAAAGAGATTTTTGATTAGAACAACTAGACAATGTCACGATAGTAAACACACATACTTATTTTCTATTTTATTTAATCTGACAATTTTACAACGTATTTCATTTGATTGTTGCTGGAACATATGATGAACTCTAATGGTTTTGGTGAATATTATTTCCCCATAGTGAAAACAACTGAATTCCTCTTTAACAGAACGCATTTATTAGAAGACTCATCTTTTTTTTTTATCAAAAAGCATCAATGACGTTAGTCACAAATATCAGAGTTCTTTTGAAGTGGGTCTCGAAAGCTCTTATCAATAGAACTGTTCCTATATTTTTATATTCATTCCAGACTAAATGATTAATGGAAAGAAAATACAAAAATACCTTTAAGGCTTTTGAAATGAATATTAATGCAATTCAAAATTAATCATAACAAAGGACGATAAAAAAATGTAAAAGAAAATTTTATATGAAATAAATTATTTTTTTGTGTCTGCAAATCACAAACATCAGTTGATTTCAATGAAAGGATTAGGCTAAAAGAAGTTGTCTGTATATCATATATCATCAATTCATATGACGAAAGTTAAATATTAATGAACCTTAATACTTTGACAAAAATATCATTTAATATCTTGAAAAGAAAACCATATTTGTTTTTGACATTAAAATTAACTGGTTTTTATTAAGAGTATTTCCTTGGATAGACGACGCCAGCTAAATTTTTTTCTTCTTAATTTAGGCCCCGTTTACACTATGTCGGTTTGCTATCGTGGCAGGTTTAACTTTCTATGAATTTAAAGTCAGTAATATCCTTCAATGTCAAAAATTTAGTTAAATTGACTAACTCTATCATCTTCAATAAGCGTCTACTCCGAACATTTACTTCCTTAAAGCAAACAAAGATTTCGTGATGAGAGAATTCAATACAATGTAAATGCAGTCTTAATGATCTCTGTACGTCGGAAATTCATTGTTATTTGCGATATATCACCTTTTCGTGTGAAGATGTAATGTATAATGTGAATAAGAGCATTTGAATTTGAATTTTTTATATAGACAAATGTTTCACACAACTGAGCTCACTGATTTGGTTCGCTTAAAATCAACGCTTTTGTGTGACTTAAAAAAATGTCTATTGTATCACATTGGATAAGTACCTTGCTTCAGCTTATTCTACTTGATGGCGTCGTTTGTCTCCTTAACCACATCCGGTAGTCTATTTTTGAAACTGACATATATTCAAGGTCATCCGTCAAAGACAAATTAGCGATAGTGAAAATTTAAATTTACCGTTATGTAGCTATGTTAAACTATTTAAGAATTTCTCACTTTTAAAAGACATGCAGCTGTAAGAGAAATTTATCGCTTGTTCTTGACACAAAAGATAGTGACAATGCTTTAAGTTTCATGTGATTGTGAAAACTATGTGTTTGTGCACGCGATTGTAGAAGCCTAAAATTTAGACACAAATTCAATTTTACACATGTAAGCTGCGTGAGAATGCTCACCAGCAACCCCCACACAGCATTATGCCTCCAGTGATAAATTTTTATTAAAATTCATCCACTTCTCACGTGTGTGTTATGATTGAAAAAGTCAACGACAAAAATGAAATAATTATCAAACCTCTCCCAACCAGTGTGCCAGTAAATACAAGTTGTAATAGGTAAAGCGACGAAAAATACATTTTCAGAGAGTCAGAAGAGTCACTATGTGGAGTATATTGTAAAAGGAAGGATCCTGCCACTTGTGACGCAAACGCGGTTTCTCAAGAAGCCATTGAAGTATTAAACGAAAGAAATACCGAGGCTCTCCTAACTAGAGATTCTGATCAGTCTGTGTTACCTACAAATATTAAAACTGTCAAAGTGAAAACAAACGTTGATAGATCAAGCGAGGGAAATAAAGTCTTCACAGTACTACAAAAGTCACTTTGTGAAGTAAACAACATAAACGAAACCAACGATCCAGTCAGCTATTTTCACAAAGTCAGAAAGGTTAATTATATCACCAGAATGCAGTTGATCGTGGGAGGGGCTTGCCAATCCAAAGCAACAGAATTAAAGTCAGTCAATTTCCTCATAGTCCGTGATCTGTGCCTCAAAAATATGCTTTAAAAATGAGTTTCGTTGGACACCTCAAGGAAGGTCGCAAAATTTTCAAAATAGATAGAAAGTCACTTGCTGTTTGATATTCTTTTTATTGTCACTTCTAAAAAGCTGCAGTTTTTTAGTATTTCGCGGTTGAATTTCAAAATTCCTCGCTCCTTCAATTTTGAATGTCGCCATTTTTGGTGCGGAACTCTTTGATCTAACTGCCGTTGTCATGGTGAGGCAAATTTATTAACAGGCGCCATCTTGAAAGGTGGCAAAAAGGCGAGACTCTTAATAAAGTCCAAGTAAAATGTAAGTTTTAAATGAAGAATTCTATCGAAAATTTTGGAAGCAAACCTAAACTGTCACCTTTGCACTTATGTACCAACATAGGAGAAGCCTGTTTTAGACCTAAATCTTGTCAGTTTTAAGAACTCATGGTTAAATCGTGCGCAACTTCACTTTTCGAAGGATAGCAACGCATCTTTCCATAAATTTTTCCTTAAACACTAAAGCTTGGTAAGAAATTGATCATTACCACTAAAGAATTTTTTTGTTAATAAGCTTTTAAAGAGGCACATCATTATGCAAAGGCCTAAGATAAATGTAAAAATTGTAGAACAAACATTTAGCAGCTTACAGCTATGTTACAGATTCTATAAAGTACATGCTTTTCTGATTAACCTGCTTTAAGTGATGCAAGAGCAAAAATAAAGTTTTAAAAGTATTGCTATCAGGCTATTAGACTCACTAAACACAAGAATTACTTTGATTCAATGTTTTGACCACTCTTTCTACAAGGTCACTCCACATAGGATAAGTGAAGTCCATTCTTTACTTTGGAAGAGTAGAATTCTGAAATTTCAATTTTTAAATATAGAAGGACAACATTTTTTTGGTTTTGTAGAACCTACACTAAGCATTAAAGTGCTTGCTCACTTACTTCTAACAGAGGATCTTGTCTCCATTACATACCAATGTCCCAAAACCATCTTTAGTTGCTGTTTCCATGCATTGATTATATAAAGAATGACTTCAAAAATAATTCAGATATTCTTTATTTTAAATCAACATTATAAACTTTTATCAAAGGACAACAGAGTAAATTAGTAAATTAGTATGTATAGATCAGAATCATAACTACATTTCTTGTTGAAAAATATATATACAGGATCACTTTTTCAATCAATGTGCCAGAACTCTTTCACTCTCCTTTTCATGGTATGACAAAGACAACTTTTATCTATGAAAGTCCTTGCTAATCAAATTTACAATAAAACAAGTTTCAACCCAAGCAAAAAACCCCAGCTTTCTGGCTTCTGAAATGGCTCACTGAAAAATATTCTTTCTTGAACTGTAAAACATGATCTTGAGCATAAAGCCTTAACTGAAGATTAACAATCATCACAACCTATGAAAGAGATTGTTGAAAAATACAAAAGTTTACCACTTCTGACATATTGTAAACAAATAGTAGCTAAGTTTGTTCTAAGAATCATATAATGTTGAGTTCTAGCTTGGTGTTTTGAGATTTTATGCTTCTTAACTGAGATTTTTAACTTCTTTTTAAAAAATACCTCTCAGTTGTATACAGAATGCAATAAGAATGACTTTAGCAATATTTACACTAACTCTTGATTAGCAATGGAAGTTTATGGAACTTACATTTTTGTACCAAGCCGCGCTTTGGCCTTTCTGTTTACAACCACAAATGGATATTACTCCTCCGGATGAAAATGGGTGGCAAACGAGTGACGGGAAACTGCAAGTCTGAAATCGTATGGATGACCATTCCCCTAGCGCCGAATTCCCTACTTGATAACGTTCATTGTGGTTGTAAGACTGGCTGCAACGTGGCTGTAACTCCCAACGTTGTTCATGTAACAAAGCCGGAGTGAAGTACACAAATGTATGGTCGTGTACTGTATGCACGAATGTAGATATTGATGACGACAATGATGTTGAGGAAGAGGAGTTTTTAGATGATGACATTGACGACGAATTCGAGACAGACCTTTAAAAAAAGAGCGCCTTGTCTTGCACAATACGATTATAACTTTCAAAATATTATCTTCGCAACAATTGCTAAAATCCAACCTAATGCACGAGTGAAATATGTATTTCTTTCAGACATTTTATTTATGTTGCCAGTATTATCGTGCGGAATAGCTCTCTATTAGGTCTGGCACTAGCACACAAAATATAAATAACATGAAGTTTCCCTAGGAAAATGGCGGATTCCGAAATTGTAATGAGCTACAAATTTTAACATTTTAATGTAATATAGCAAAAAAACTGCAGCTTTTTGGAGATGACAAGAAGTAAAACTGCGTTAAGCATGTAAAAGTCGTTCTGTCTTGAATTTTTCACGACCTTCCTTGAGGTGTCCAACGGGAATGAAAGAAAATCGGTCACAGATCACGGACTATCAGTGAAAATGTGGTTCTCATCAACGCTCGTTCAGGGAAAACTGTTTTACACAACTGAGCTCACTGACTTGGTTGGATTAAGATAAACACTTTTGTGTGACTTAAAAAAATGTCTATTGCATCCTTTTGGATAAGTACCTTGCTTCAGTTTATTCTAATTGATGGCGTCCTTTGTGTGTTAACAACATCCGGTAGTCTATTTTGGAGCTGACATACATTCAAGGTCATCAGTCAAAGACAAATTAGCGATAGTGAAAATTTAAATTTATTGTTATGTAGCTCTGTTAAACTATTTGAGAATTTCTCACTTTTAAAAGACATGCAGCTGTAGGAGAAATCTATTGTTTGTTCTTCACATAAAAGTTCGTGACAATGCTTTAATTTCCATATGTGTACACCTACAGACATATTCATTCTCAGCCACCATAGCCGAAATATACTATTTACCGTTTTCGGACTGAAGCTCGAACTCGTGCTTTGATTTAAGTTTAGACTAAAATTAATCCTATTAAAAGTAAGTCCTTTAGCTTCTCACGAGCTTTGACAATAAATCACAGTCGTTTTTACAGCAAACCATATTTGATTCAAAATACTTCATTATATCAACGTAAGTGTCTTTCAAAAGCGTTTTCTGACGTATATGAGAATAATAAAAAGTCGTTTGGTTTAATCGACCGATCATCCATATGCATTTGGAGTACGGACTTGTGTTTATTTCAGGGACGTCGCAAAGAACTTCAATTTTGGGGGGAGGGGGATATAGCAAATATTTACCAAAGATTTTTCTAAATTTAACTGACATTTTACTGTTTCCCTGATATGGCAAATTTGAGAAACAATTGATGACTTCAAATTTTCAATTTTAAAAAATAAATAATTCGTTTTAAGATATTTTTGCCGTCATAATTTTTGGTTTACATCTCACAGCATGCTGTATACTTTAATAATCGGTATATGCAACATAATGGATTGTTTATTTTGCTTTTTTTCTCTATTGTTTATCACTTAAACTCCACTGTAAATGCATGCTAAAGAAATCAAATAATTATAATTTCATTGAAACCATGTGTTTGTGCAGGCGATTGTAGAAGCCTCAAATTTAGACACAAATTCAATTTTACACATGTAGGCTGCGTGAGAATGCTCATCAGCAGCCCACACACAGCATTATGCCTCCAGTGGTAAATTTCATTAAAGTTCATCCAATTCTTACATGTGTGTTATGATTGAAAAAGTCAACGACAAAAATGAAATAATTATCAAACCTCTCCAAACTAGTGTGCCAGTAAATACAAATTGTAATAGGTAAAGTGACGAAAAATACATTTTTTAGAGAGTCAGAAGAGTCACTAAGTGGAGTATATTGTAAAAGGAAGGATCCTGCCACTTGTGACGTAAACGCGGTTTCTCAAGATGCTAGTGAAGTATTAGACGAAAGAAATACCGAGGCTCTCCTAACTAGAGATTCTGATCAGTCCGTGTTACCTACAAATATTAAAACTGTCAATGTGAATACAAACGATGATTAATCAAGCGAGGGAAAGAAAATCTTCACAGTACTATAAGAGTCACTTTGTGAAGTAAACAACATAACCGAAACCAACGATCCAGTCAGCTATGTTCACAAAATCAGAAAGGTTAATTCTATCACCAGAATGCAGTTGATCGTGGGAGAGGCTTGCCAACCCAAAGCAACAGAATTAAAGTCAGTCAATTTCCTCAGTCGAAATATGTTTCTCATCAACGCTCGTATAAGGAAAACTGTTTTACACAACTGAGCTCACTGCTTAAAATAAACGCATTTGTGTGTCTTAAAAAAATGTCTATTGAATCATTTTGGATAAGTACCTTACTTCAGCTTATTCTAATTGATGGCGTCGTTTGTCTGCTTAACAACATCCGGTAGTCTATTTTTTGAAACTGACATACATTCAATGTCATCAGTCAAAGACAAATTAGCGATAGTGAAAATTTAAATTTACCGTTATGTAGCTATGTTAAACTATTTGAGAATTTCTCATTTTTAAAAGACATGCAGCTGTAGGAGAAATCTATTTTTTGTTCTTCACACAAAAGTTCGTGACAATGCTTTAAGCCTGTTTTCCACTAGCCACGTATCGTAACGCATCATAGCAAAACGTAACATGGCGCATGCGTGGTAGTGTATTTGATGGCTAATGGCATATTACAATTTTAATACGCGTAATAAAAAACAACTTCGCGTATTGTCAACTTTTTCGTACGAATCTGTAATACGGATATATTCAACCAATAGTCGTTCATTTCATGAGAAAACAAAATTCATGCTTTCAAAATGGCGACGCTCGAGGAGCCGTGCATCGAGTTATTTTAAGAAGAGGGGACAGACGATTCATTAAATAAATCAGATATCAATATGCAAGATGCTTCGTTTCTGTCAAATTTAATTGAGGAAATACGTAATTATCCTTGCATATGGAATGTTTCTTCAAAAAGATACAAAGAAAGACAAAAAACTGGAGCCTGGCGTAGGATTTCTACAGCATTGAATGCACCTGATAAATTATTCACGAACGGGCTTATACATGATAATGCCATAAGGCAATAAACCCGGTAATGAACTTTTCTGGTCGCACAGTTCTCATTATATTCAGTAGTTCTTTTGATGAAGTAAATATTATAAGCTACACTGGAAATTAAAATAACTGCTCAAATACATGTAATACATCAAGAGGTTAACATTTGGAAAAAGTGCCAAAACATTACATATAA